AATTCCAGTATCCTGTTAAACTGCTTTACACCCGTCAACAGGAAATCCCTTAAATTCCAGTAACCTGCTAAACGGCTTTACACCAGTCAACAGGAAATCCCTAAAATTCCAGTATCCTGTTAAACGGCTTTACACTCGTCAACAGGAAATCCCTTAAATTCCAGTATCCTCCTAAACGGCTTTACACCCGTCAACAGGAAATCCCTTACATTCCAGTATCCTGTTGACGTCTTTACACCCGTCAACAGGGAATCCCTTAAATTCCAGTATCCTGTTAACGGCTTTACACCAGTCAACAGGGAATACCTTAAATTCCAGTATCCTGTTAAACGGCTTTACACTCGTCAACAGGAAATCCCTTAAATTCCAGTATCCTGTTAACGGCTTTACACCAGTCAACAGGGAATACCTTAAATTCCAGTATCCTGTTAAACGGCTTTACACCAGTCGACGGTGAATCCCTTAATTTCCAGTATCCTGTTAAACGGCTTTACACTCGTCAACAGGAAATCCCTTAAATTCCAGTATCCTCCTAAACGGCTTTACACCCGTCAACAGGAAATCCCTTAAATTCCAGTAACCTGCTAAACGGCTTTACACCAGTCAACAGGAAATCCCTAAAATTCCAGTATCCTGTTAAACGGCTTTACACCCGTCAACTGGAAATCCCTTAAATTCCAGTATCCTGTTAACGGCTTTACACCAGTCAACAGGGAATACCTTAAATTCCAGTATCCTGTTAAACGGCTTTACACACGTCAACAGAGAATGCCTTAAATTCCAGTATCCTGTTAAACGGCTTTACACCAGTCGACGGTGAATCCCTTAATTTCCAGTATCCTGTTAAACGGCTTTACACCAGTCAACAGTGAATCCCTTAAATTCCAGTATCCTGTTAAACAGCTTTAACAGCAATACTTTACCAGTTCTGTATTTAAGGAGTTCTGTTCCTACATAACCTTATTGGTATTCACTTTGAATTAAGATACTGCTCTCTTGAGGGCCTTAAACGTAACGACATCATCATCAATAATTGATAACTTTTAAATCATGTTCGTTAAATGTCGTTTACATCATTCTTGGATTGTTTCGCCAGAGCAAGTTTTGCAGGTTATTTTTAAGCGGTTTACTATTAATTTTTTTGTTATTTAGTTATAACGTTCGGAATTGTGCAGTGTCTTCAATATATCAATAGCATCCTTCGTGGAAAGGACCTGCTCCGTCAGCCTATTTTTCACATATGCTTGTTCTAAGTTTTCATTGAATATTCCATTTGTTATTTGTTTCTTAAAACATATCAATGATTTTTTCGTCGTGAATACATTTAAAAGTATATATTTCACATATGTGTTATCTTCATATTTATTGTCCTATCTATTATTTCTATTCTTAGTATTTGCATCATTTCAACTGTTTGTGGTAAGATTTTACAGGAACCAAAAACGACACTTTTTGTATGAGAGATAGGTTCACCAATACTCGGAAGACTTATCTATTGTTGCATCATTTGAAATGTTGCCATTTTATCATCTGATCATCATCATGTCCAACATCTTATTTCCTTATGGTTCACTCTAAGGTAAGGTGGTCGCCATGTGTTCTATTTTCTCACTAGCATATCAACTTTTGTTTTCAAAATGATGCGATGAAACTTACACATCCAAGAGCACACTTCCCTAGAAGCACCAGAGTTGTCTCCCTTTGTACGTTCATCCAACGTGTTGGCATTTACTTGCTACTGTCGCTATCGTCCTGTAGGGTCATTTGGACATGTTTAATCAAGTGTGTCCACGATACGATCTTGCACTTTGTTTCCGTACTGCTCTTGAATTCCCCCAAAAAACTAAAATTGTTTGGTTTGGTTTGTTTGTTAGTGCGTTACGTCATATTTACAACTATGATCATTTATGGTCAAGGCAGGTTTTAATGGTGGTGGCAAACCGGGTATTCGGAGAAAACTCAACCACCGACCTGCAGCCAGTACCTTGTGACAGCCCCACGTGCGCCTCAAACCCGCGACCCAGTAGTGGAGGGCTATTCTGGTCTTTTAAAATGTCCACCTTTGTCTTTAATTCATCATCATCATCCTCAGCTCTCGAGTGAAGCATGTACTAAAGCTACATATCAGATAAACGTAAGTGCATTTATTATCTTTACCCGCGAATGGTTCCTCATTTTCTATTATCAAATCACCCATGTCCTCTGTAGGATTGTTTTCTGCTTTTTCTGTTGGTCGGTTGGCGCACTGGATAACGCACTTGCTTTTCACGAAGGCGGGCGGGGTTCGATTCCCTGATCGGACATGAATAGTTTCCTCTCACATTAAGACCCAAACTCATTAACATCAGGGGAAACACGAGTGAGTAATTTAACTTAAAATAAGTTGTATCATAATTGATGTAAAACAGACAAAGTTTATATTTAATGATGTTGTTTTCTTTATTTAAGTTCATTTGACGGTCAACAATTAATACCATTTCACCACCTTATAAGTCAGTCTTGTTTGTCACCAACTAAGCAATGATCTATCGATGCTCTATGGCATATAGGTCAACAACCACTAGAATGACAAAGAAGGGAGGCACTGACGTTTAGTAAGTCGATACAGAAATCCCCGATCAGTGAGTAGTTACTGTACCATTGGGCAGATGTGTTAATTTATACCTCATTGGTGGTGAAAGGTATAGGCATTCATGTCTAAAGTATTCCACAGTATACTCCAATATATGCAGTAAAACAAGCTTTGACACGGCTTAACAGTTCGAAGCATATTGTAAATATATTAGATATAATGAGAATACACTGAACGTATATATAAGCATAAACTAAAATCAACCAAACGTTATGCTAGGTTATGATGTTGAACGTCTGGTCTGGTGTAAAATGTCATGAATCGGTTACTTAGAACAAGGGTCTTTCATACAACAATTGATAACGATGTATTTATTGTCATTTTACTTACTGGATAAAGACATATACATTACCTCCACAGAAACCGTTGAAACAGTATACTTATCAGTTGACGCCCTCATTGTGAACAGCCAGTTAACTTTGTTTAGTGGTCAGATGTTGTCTAGGTCTATATTTCATTTAAACAAGTTTAGCTAAGTTAACATCTCGAAATACATAATATGTAAGCATTTTAGCGGTCTTTTTGAATTTTGGCTGTGATTATTTTTCCTCCAGCTTGATTTTGGTAGATTTCTTACCGACTTTAAGAACCGATTTTGAGGGTTTAAAAATCAAAACCAGCTTTTAGTCGAACATATCTGTGTTCTCGTCAGTTTCAATTGAATCAATTGTAAATGTTTTTTTTTTTTATGTTATATGATAATGAGAGTAAGCGTGTGTTGTTAAATATAATAATAATAGTGGATGCCTGTTATTTTATATAATTATGATAACGGCCATTTCCTATCTAATATAATTATAAAAGTAGGTATTTGATATGTTATGTAATTATGATAAAGGACGTCTCTTATAAAATTATATTAGTGGGTGTTTGCTTTGTTGTATGATGGTAGCATTTGTTTGTTATGCTATATATATATGTCCGCTGATGCTCTCAGCGTAATTGCTGCCTTCGGCTGTCTTTAGCCGAGGGGACTATTGGTTTTTATATAATAGCTATATTTTAAATTATAGTATATCAAACCTCTATCTTCTTGTAATATGATGTATATGTACATGTAACTGTTCTGTTTCAATGTGTCTTGAAAAAGGAGCGGATCGCTCCGAAAATTTGACAACCTAAACTTGTCCACACTGTTGGAATTACTTCCTTGCCCGAAATATATATATATATATATATATATATATAAACATTTAAGTTTGTTATGTTATACAAATATGTTAGTGGACGTTTGGGTCGGTCTGGTTTTACCTGGTGAATAGCACTGTTTTTAATTGTAAATAAAAAATTCGTTGGAACGGGATGTATACAGCTTTTATTGTAAAGCAATGTTTACTCTATCACAATATAATAAGACGGCATAAAATGAAATAAGGATAAAAAATATGAAAATAAAAAAATCAAAGATAAATTCTCTCTCTCTCTCTCTCTCTCTCTCTCTCTCTCTCTCTCTCTCTCTCTCTCTCTCTCTCTCTCTCTCTCTCTCTCTCTCTCTCTCTCTCTCTCTATGTTTGTGTTTCTCTCTCTGTGTCTCGTCGTCGTCTCTGTCTCTCTGTCTTTCTCTCTCTGTCTCTGTCTCTCTCTCTCTCTCTCGTATATGATACATATATTTGTACAGTGTATTCAGTTTATAACTGTTTGCCTGATGTAAGCAATCATATTCATGATTTGGAGAAGATATATGCGTACACAAACAGTTTTCAAAATTTCTTAAAGGCATCAATTTGCCTTGCAATTCCCACGTAACACATTTATCACGATGCAGCACCAGTTGATGGACGATTACAGACATGATACTTTGACAACAGTGAGAGGTAATTATTTAGATAAATGGTATATATATATAACCATCGTACGATCACTTTATATTGATTCTAAGGAAAGGTGCGTAGAATTTGCCAAGAACGATCAACTATTTGTATGTCTGCAACAAATTAAAGCTAGTAACATCATACTACGCGTGAATCTTGTCGTAAGTTTCTATTCAGTACTTTATAAACAAACTGTTCCTTACGTATTTCATAACTATTAATTTCAATAACTGGCACTCCAGTAATGACATTGTCACTAAATAGCTACTAAATAATTACAACCATTGCTACTAAATAGTTTTCAAGTATTTTAACTTAATAATTGAAATCGCTATCACTCAGTAATTGTCAATCCAATCGTTATAATAATTTACCCTCCAATAATTATAATAATCGACCGACTTTTCAGTAACAACAGTTTTGATTTAGAGTGGTCAATAATATTTTTTTAATATATGAAATTGTATGAAGTCGTAACCATCGTAACTTGTCACGTACAGATGGCGTGCAGTTTCATTTACCACAGTGTGGTTTTTAAGTTAACCCCCCCNATCATTATAAAGACAACATTACCCCTGGCGAGCTAACATAATATAAACTGTGTTTTGAGGACCTTCTTTATGTACAGCATGTATTGCTTTTACTATTTAAAGGTATCAGCTACGGAATGTTAACATACATTTTAACAAGGATATATACATGCTATGTAGGTTTCTTTCAATTAACGAAATAATCATTATTTGTTTATGTGATATGGTAAAATATACACCGAGTGAAAAAAGCTGAGAAAAACACAGAAGAACGCTTTAGCAAAAATTGATCATTTTGCCATCATTTTCAAATACCGATTCGAGTTCCGCCATAATTTATAAAACGCATTCTGATAATATATCATATACCACGTCAAATAATAATAGAATAGATTAGTATCTATACCTTAGTGTATAAGACAACCTGACATGAACAATATTTTTTGTTTTGAATAACGCTGTTCTTCTGTTTGTGTAAGCAATGGTCATGTGATGTTTAATTATACGCATATGTACTCGGTGTCACAAACGTCTCACGTGTTTACATTTGCATAGGAAGACATTTAGGACGAAGTTGAAGCACTTGGAGCAAAACTGCATGCTCGTATTACCGAACAGTCTTTGGTTGTTAAAAGTTTAACATCAGGATAAAACATCTCACACGGTATTTTATAAAGCAATGTTTTGGGTATCAACTTTCAGTAAGTAATGTCCGTAACAGGCCTGTCCCAGGGTGACGGCATTTTGGTCTATGGCAGGGCTGTTTCACTATGGCGATCTTGTCCATTTTTCACAGAAAGTTGATTCATGTTGATACTGAATGCACTGTCTCTAAACGCGAAATTGTCGTTTCCTTTATAATACTGTCCCATCTGCATTTGTGTCTTATTTAATTCTTCCATCTTTCTTAGGTAGGAGCGATTCATATAATGCATTTTGTCAGAAAGAAAAATGACCTGTTTGAATTGAAATAAAAGCAGTGATACATCTTTACGTAGAAAATTTGTTGTTCGCAGATACGTTGATTACAGTAGTTTAACAGAAAATAAACAATGATGTTTGCCATGTTTGGCTTGTTTTCCTAGTAACTAACAACAAAAGGATAACATTATCTCTCAGTAATCTCTATAATTTGAAAAATTATGTCATTATGGTTTTCAAAACAACTCTAGGTTATATACTTACTGTTAAAAGACACCCTAATGCCCCAACAATAGCTCCGCCTATGACGTCACCGGGATGATGACGATAGTCTTGGAGACGTGATGCACAAATAAACACACCCAATATGATGACGAGGGTCTGAAGGAGAGGTCGGAGGAGACGAACCCATTTAAGGAGCAGTCGGAATTGAAGGTACACCTGAAATCAGTAAAATTGTAGTGACACTAAATCTTACCTAATCACTAACGTTAAAGTTAAATACCTCTAACCTTCCACATAATATAACTATCTCTAATCAGAGTTGTCTTTCTTACATCTACGTGTATATCTGTCAATGGCGAAAGGCTTAAATTCTTAGCAAAATCAAAATCTTTTCAAATATTTCGTAATTGTGGAATTTTTCCAGTATTTAAGATAGCATGATAGTTCCTCTAATAAGATATAGATCATTCACAAAAACACAAAACATACCCCAATTTAAAAAAGACGTAAATCAAAATCAATATCGATGAAACTTAATCGAAATACGGACAAAAGGAAAATTAATACGAATACCCTTAAAAAAGTACAAGTATAACTAGAAATTTGTTTTTGTCTCCCCTTATTTGCCAATATGCATATTTGGAAGAACAGAAAGGTCACATCAAGATTAAGGTGTTTAAACTCTAACCCATTAAACTTTTAAATTATTCCGATTCATGTTAAATTATCTTAACAATTTGGTTAAGTTCTGTCAGCTATGGTACTATAGACACATTTACATTTATATAGAAATAGGCATTATCACACATCTGATTACAATCTGGTTCCTCTATTGGCTCGTTATTTTTATAGCAAGTTTGGTCAACGTAGGAGAAATAACATTGAACTTATGCTGCAGACAAGCTTCGGTATTAAAAATAAACAAAGGGCCACAACTCTGTTTTTAGTTGGGAACGAGAATTAATTTCAGTGCAAGATATTTCACCTTCCCAAGCTACATGATACGGTAACGTAGGTGAAATAACATGGAACTTATGCAGTTTAGAACCTATGCTGTGGACAAACTTCGGTATTATAAATAATCGAAGGGCCATAGCTCTGAATATAGTGGGGCACGATACCTAAATCTAGTGCACTGCACACCTTATATGTGTGATGCAAGTATACTTTAATTTTGATCAAAATATCTGTAACGGTATATAATTTACGGGCCTGACAAGAATTTACTGAAAATGTTGCACTTATTTGACATTTTTACCCTGATGTGAAGGTAACTATGACCTTATCCTAGTGCACTGCACACTCTCTGTGGGTGATGCAGGCATACCTCATGTTTTATCAAGATATATTCAACGGTTTAAAGTTATGGCACGGACAAGTCAGATTAGAAGAACCAGAAGAAGAACCAGTAGTAATACAATATGTCTCCATTCATTCGAAGGGGAGTCATAATAAGACGAGGTGTACCCGAATTATAAGCGCAATATCCTTGTCATATCACGTCCCCAAGTGAGCCATGGGGTAGTGTCAACGAAACCAAAGGTATACTAATGAACTCATTCAAGAATGGGCATATGGAAACAATATTTCATCATGACCATAACACTTGCCCATTTTTTTTTCAACATCCATCTCTCGAAACCCTGATTTGTTTATATATATCTGTCAATAATCGATACATATATCAAGGGACTCGCGATACTCTGATTAAATACATCAATATCAAATCGACTGCGACGTATTAACACCGTGAAGAAAAATGGTATTGTACATCCGTCGTAGCTCTAAATAAGGTGTACACAAATCTAACATTTTACTATCGTTAATGGAAAAGAAAACATTTAAGTCAAACTCTCATTCCGACAGAAATAATCAGGACGTTAATTGGTGGTACCATTCAAGTTGTTAAGGTCATAGCAGACATTATTAGATTTATCCTTTAATGACTCTTTTGGAAGGGAACGAGTTCTTAAGAATGTACGAAACCTAGTAATACACTAGATTATATACGTATCTGACATATATCCTCTCAAACGAGTCATTGTAGTACTTTGTAGTGGGGAGCTGATTTACCTGGAAGATTTGTGTCATTGACACAGGTAAATTAAAATCCTCTTGTAAGTTATCTAGGTTCAATAGTGCAACAATTATGCAATGCATAGCTTTACTGTATAAGCCGTATGGCTAACAGGATAAACAAATTCATCAAAATGAAGCTTGGCTGTTTTCAAACAAAACGTAGTTGTCCCTGCAAAGTACGTAATAACGCAACACTGGTGTAACTGGTTTAGTAATACGTACCGCTAAAAATAGCATGCCATAGGCTGCAGCTGCTGAATGTCCTGATGGAAATGATTTCCTAAGAACAGATATATGTCAAGTTATACCAGTAATACAAGTTTACATCATTAGAAGGCATCTGTTCTGGTTGATCCATTTTGAACCATCATCATTTGAACTCATAGACAAATATTCATGCATCTTTTAACTCTACTATTCCTATGCTGATAACTATAGAATGTCGAGGTTTGATGATACAGAACCTTGTATCATACAGGATGTTTATTTCAACCTGACATGGATCAATGACTAGTAAGCAACTGTTTAAGTAATAATTCAAAGAGAATGCATTCAAAATATATAAAGGTTATCAAATGATAAACCGTGTGATATTTTCCCAATTATATATATATATACCTTCTTTTTAATAGTTTTAATATATTATTCTATAATTTATATTAATATATATAGAGGATATTCAATGGTGTCTTCAGTATTAACAAATATATTTCACGAGTGTGGCTAATATTTTGATATTTTTACACGAGTGCGCAGCACGAGTGAAAAATATCAAAATATTAGCCACACGAGAGGAATATATGTGACATTACTGAAGACACCATTACATTTTCTATATATTACATTTTTAAACCATAAAACATGAAAAATGTAATGCATTAAAAAAGGGAGGGAATCAGATGCGTAATAATTAGCGCCATATTCTAATGACGTAACACTTGACAACAAGGCTGCGCGCCATTTTGAATGGGATACTCAACGCAATTCCGACGTTTTCTGCTATTTTCTGGTACGATTGCTTATGGAAATGTTATAATTTGTATATTTATGTAAATGCTTAATCATTTACAATAACAACCACTTATTCTACCTTCGCTACATTTGAATCTGAACAAAAAATCGTTGCCTTTGAATGCAGCGAATAGAAGATACCGTTATGATTGGTCAATATCAAAAAGTGATAGTGTCACACTGTGAAAATATCACTTTTGATATTTGTCACAGTGTGAAAGATATCAGTTTTATCAAGTTGATAGAATCCGATATTTCACTGGAAAAGATGTAATAAATAAATATATTTTACATTTCGAATAAATTGTATGACATCTTTTCCGTAACGGTACATCACAACTCCATTACCTTAGATCAGCTAAAACTTCTTCGTCTGTTTCGTTGCAGTGGAATTCTCTTATAAATCCTTGTGTACAGTCGATAGCTGTGAAGTTAGGTCTGCACATCGCAATAAAATTGGGTCGGAGACGTCCAAAGAAAAGTTTAAGTGTTTCTACAACAAGAATGGTAGCTGTGCCGCCAAACAGGTACGAGCCGACGGTTCTGTACAGGTTTTTAATGTATACCCACATCGTCCCTCTTATGTCTGAACAAGAACCGTTGTAACAGGCATAAAACAACTCCACAATGATAACCTGGAGCAGAGAGGAAAGGAAAAATGTATAATTAGCGTTGGAATTCATAACTTGCAATGAAGAGCGATATTTGAAATGGTGTAACTTATTCTGATACCCTGATCAACATGAGGATGTTGAAACATCTAAGTGAACCTTATATAATTAAAAAGGCGCTATTAATAGACGCACGTGCTGATGATGTATAAGGGATACATACAATTAAAGTTAAAAACGTCTAGTAAGTTCCAGTTACTTAATAGGAACTGTTATCTTTTCCCTTTTAATGCGTGTATGCCCACGTTAATAATAATAATAATAAACTTTAGTTATTGAGGATCCAAACCTGTTCAGCAAAGCTAATCTTCCACAGGGTCCTCTATTAGTAAAATTGGTTAGTTAAAAGACAAAGTAGTATCACAGCAAATAAATGTACATAAAATAATTGTTGGTCTACTAAAAGAGCAATTCATATCACAGTTATTTCATAATTTAAACGGTCGTTCAATACAATTACAATAAAATTATCACAGAAGCACGAAATATATTTCGTGCTTAACTCATTATGGTTTTCATTAAAAGACAAATTGTCTCATTTACATATATGCTAATGTAGCAAAAGCTAAAAATTGACAGAATACACGCTAATATAGCAAAAATATAACAAATCAAAGCTGTATCTAAAAAGTATAATAGTAAAAATAAAAGACAATTAAACCGCATTCTTAATGTTACCAATCATATTTTGTTTGAGTTTTGTCAAGGAGGAAGAGAGTCTTACTTCAACCGGTAAATTATTCCAAATCTGGCTCCCTTGTACCAAAAAGTGTTTGGAATAAAATGTGGTACGGTGTTTGGGTACCTTGACAGAGTTTTGGGATGCTGATCTAGTATATCTGTTGTTAGACAAATTAAATTGATTAGAAAGATATCCTGGAACTAGATTATTTATACATTTGTACACCATAACACCTCTTTTGAATTTCAAATATTCGCCAATTGGTAACCACCCTAATGAAGAAAACATTTCTACTGATGGTGTATCAAATGGAGCATCCAACAGTAATCTTGCAGCTTGTTTCTGCGCTTTTGACAGTTTTTGTAGAAGATTTAAAGAGCATCCGCTCCATACTGTGCTACTGTACATGAAGTGGGGAAAAATACATGCATGAAAAAATTTAAGTCTAGCTGAAAGTGGTAAATATTGACGGATGCGTCGAAGTAAACCCAAACCACTGTTAATCTTTGAAACAACAGATGCTATGTGATCTAACCAAGATAAACTGTTGTCAATTTTTACACCAAAAAAGTTTTCCCTCTTTACTTGTTCAATACATTCCTGATCTAATATTAGGCTTAGAGCATCTTCTATTCTGTTAAGTTTCTGTTTTGTGGCAATAACCATACCTTTCGTTTGAACGATGGCAAGGAACTGACACGCCTGCATTAGATACCACACCCAGAAATATATCACATATCATATCAGGCTCCGTATTACTGAAGCAATGAAGAAGTTTGGAGAGACTTCCAGCCGAGTAACAGTGTCATACGACTTCTGAAAGTAACAAGAAAGTGGGGTTGGGAACAGAATCCATGCTTACGCAGGTGAACAGTGAATTGAATACGGTTCGTGATCTGAAACACAAGAACCCACTCAGCAAGAGCGATCAATTTGTATAATAGCTCAATTCCGTAAGTTTCACCGATATCAAAGCCACAACCAAGAAAATGAAATATTTAAGGCAACTTTGTGTAGATTAAAATGATATAAGAGATAAAGAAAGGGGATTTCGGCGACAAAGACACAAATGTAAACTATTTAATGCAGTTTACATTTCAAAAAGATATACAGATGTCTGTCAAAATAGAAACATCATCAAGAAGAAACACACATGAATTCCAAGTGGACTAAGGCTAAGATCCATTAAATATATCCCAAACGAGAAAGAAAAAGATTAGAAACTAATTAAAAACCCGAACAATAGCAATAACGTAAAACTCAGTAGTTACCAAAGGCCATATATCAGTATGGTAAGGGTAAACCCTACACCACAGAGTCTACGACATTGTCACAAAAAACCAGGACCATTTCCATGACTCAAACAGGAAAGGTGAAAAATAAATAGAAAATAAAAGCAATGGGAATCGCCAAAATACACACAAACGTACACACACTAACTGAGAAAAAAAACTAACGTCATGGTCACTATAAAAGGGGTGTCTGATGCGCTTCCAAGAGTGTTGCGCAAATAACATATCAGCACGCCCGTGCGACAACACAACAACATCAAACAGATTTTAGTTTATTCGTAAGACAAATTGCCGAAAGAAAACAAGATCATGGCGGTTTACTTAATGTAATGTAAAAGCTGCAACCTAACATACATCGGGGAAACTAGCCCATCATTTGGGGCACGCCTAAAGGAACATCAGAAAGACATTGAAGCCATAAAACAGCGAGTCTACAGTAGAAATATAGAAAGACATTGGAGAAACAATACAATAAATCAGTCATTACAGAGCATGGTAACACACACAACCACATCAAAGAGACTGGAACAAATCGAAAGTGCTTGAAAGATTGGACAACTGAAAAGTCAGGAAAATGAAAGGATCCATCTTGGTTAGAGGAGAAGGGGTCGAAGAACAGAGACGAAGGGGGCCAACAGCTGAGTCATCTTTCTGACCCCATTTTAACATCCACTAAGGAGCGGAATAGGTAAACATGTTACCTGCCCCCTTACTGTCTGCAGTATTACAGTGCTATTAGGGGAGTTATCTATGATACTTGTCAGCTGACTTCACTGATTCGGCAAATTGTGGCTTAGTGAGTAGATGAGAGACATGTAAATATTTATCTGAGGAAAGTGGCCAGAGAAACAATACAATAAATCAGGCATTACAGAGCATGGTAACACACACACCCACATCAATGACCCTGAAGTGTTTCAAAGGGATCACCACTGGAATGTGAGGACAATTCAGGACTCCACCTTGGTTAGGAGGGAATTACCCGCCCCCCGGACTGCAATCAGTATAAGAGTGCTATTTGGCGAAATGTCTCGATATGTTCTGACAACTGACTTTTCTGACTCGGCACATTGTGACTTAGTGAGTTGTTTTCAACGGTTTAGAGTCGGGATACTGGCTATTTGCACTCTTTCCCTGACAAAAGACGTAGACATTTTCGAAAGCTCGCAACATAAGTTTACAGGTACTGTTTAAATTCAAAACAAACTTGGTATTAAATATTCATACTAAACTGATGATCATTCCAAGTGTATTAAGAGTGGTCACAATTACAACCGGTTTACCAGTGAAGGTTGAATAAAGAAGCATGTACAGCTAGCTGTGCATGTTAATGTCCAGTATCACACCCCAGGACCTACTCACGGCTGCTGGGAAGATGAGGAGGGACATGGCGATGATGGTTCCGTCATCAATGGATTCCTCTACTATAGGATACATGATGCTTTGGTCGTCACAGTAGAAACCTCGTTCAAACGGCCGAATCATCGGTATCTTATCAAACACCAGCATAAAGGTGAAGGCCGATACTGAAATGATAATAAGGGATTCTTTGCATACCAGGTAGAAAATTACGGATGCCTATGTCTGCCAAATGAAATCTACATACAAAATATTGCGAATAAATGTACATTTGCAAATCATTTGGTGTTTATTCGAGAGAAACAAATGCGTACATTCGCAAAACAATTGTATATATATGCAATGAATAGGGTCATATTTTCGTGTACATTGCATGTTTTCATATTTCAAAAACAAATTTCTCCAGCAAAGCTGGAAGAACTATACCACATTTCCCCCGTTAGTCAGTATAAGTGAACATTGCCGTATGACTGATGTTTTCTTATAAAGTATGTGAAGACTGGCGATTGTTTTATTCTGTGACCATACGGTCGGCGTATGACAACACCAAATACACCTATCACCAGCTGCCTGAACACTATCAATACTGCCTCCTATCAATCATAAAGGAATGCTACACTGATTTTAGCAAAGTAAAGTCGAACAATACTTTTTCGGAATGAAGAGGAACTGTCCAATTTTTCGTTGCCCAGTACTCAGCATCACACATCAGGGTGAACATTGTAAATATGGCCTACCAAGTGTTCTGTATTACTAGGAAGCAACGTATTGGTCTTATTTCGTAGACCGATTACTACAGTCTCTGTCAGATGTCTTAATTTTGCAAGGATAATATGTAAAATAGGACGCGGACAACGGGGAGTGGCAGAGTAGAGGGAATGCTAAAAATCTTAAACGCATTGGATCATGTTTATATGGGAACAGGGCATCACCTTTTTCTAAGGTTAGAACACAAAAATGCCCGCAAGAGAAAAGTGGGTATTCGTGCTAGTTTATTTTGTACGAGAAACTATTTGTCAACAAAAGAATTCACTCGGGAGGAAATACGTTTATAAATAGATACGACGAGTTGCCTGCCTTACAACATAAAGACACGATGCTGTACTTGTTCTTTTTGCACATCTAAGGTATGTAGGCAGTCATGCTGACTTTCACATGGCTGATCATACGTGTACCTTTGTGTTTGAGAAGTTATCAGCTATGGTGGCACATATCTGCCATCCAGTTACTTTATGTCACGTTGCGGTAACACGACCTATTGATGTAGTTCTTGTGACAAGTCGTGTTATTTGAGTGTATTGGTGCGACATTTTTCACAATGTTTGTCGACATGGTACGATAATCATCACGATAGATAAAATTAAAGATCAGTGAGAATTTAATTATCATCTGTCGTAAATTATATACCATGACAATTTGATACAGATTTTCTTAAAACCTTGGAAATGAAATCAAATAACACGCCTTTTAATACTAATTGCAATAAGTGGTATTACCTGAACGTGACTTAAATCTAACTTGATGGCAGAAATAGCCTACCATAGTAAACAGACAATGTTGTGTTACATAGCATTTTCTGCATCGCTGCGTACAGGTAATTCTCACAAAAGTTTATTCAATGTGCATGTTCACTCCAGGACTTAAATACGCAATAAATAATTCACGTAGTCTGACAAAAACTTAAAATAAACAGCACACCGTGTCTTCTGCTCGTAATATATAAACCCATCTTTTTAAAGTTAACTTGACACCTTATCTGTAGATTTTATCTCTATCAAATTTAAATATTATCTTTTTAACCAGGTTTTCTTGTTCAAACTTTGTATGATGAGGGCAAAATAGTTTCTATGATCTCTTTTATAAGTTTGGCCTGCGGACAGGCAGTTGAACCTCGTTGATCCGTTTTGCTAAAATGGATAATGTTAGATGTGTATGGCTATAATGTTTAGTACATTAATGTGTTCTGTATGTGATGTTTGTAATACAATTGTATGATATAAAGCCTGTAATACCACACGTTTACCCGAGCGTTATATGTTAGTCGTAAAGAAAAGTAATCATATGTTTTGTCATGAAAAGGATTCAAAAGGCCAGTGATCAAAACCAATATAGCCGGAAACTAGACTGAGGCTCGATATGTGGGACTCTCTAGACTTGCTGACTTCGTGAAATCCGTAAGAGAAAGAAAAACATTGATTATCTTGTCCGGTCTAAGAGGACCAGCCCTAACATCTGTCTGTCCCTTAGATATACGTGCAACTCTCCAAAGCTCACAGGTACGACGGGGAAAATGTCCGATCAGATCGTTACTGACTTTTATCGATCATATCGTGAGTTACTGTTATCGATCATATCGTTATTGACTGTTATCGATCATATCGTTATTGACTGTCATCGATCAGATAGTTACTGACTGTTATCGTTCAGATCGTGACTGTTATCGATCAGATCGTTACTGATTGTTATCAATCACGTCGTGACTGTTATCAATCATATCGTTACTGACTGTCATCGATCAGATAGTTATTGACTGTTATCGTTCAGATCGTGACTGTTATCGATCAGATCGTTACTGATTGTTATCAATCACGTCGTGACTGTTATCAATCATATCGTTACTGATTGTTATCAATCATATCGTTACTGACTGTTATCGATCATATCGTGACTGACTGTTATCAATCAGATCGTTACCGACTGTTATCGATCATGTCGTGTCTGTTATCAATCAGATCGTGACTGTTATAGATCAGATCGTTACTGTTATCAATCAGATCGTTACTGATTGTTATCGATCAGATTACTGTTATCGATCATATCGTTATTGACTGTTATCGATCATATCGTTATTGACGGTCATCGATCAGATAGTTACTGACTGTTATCGATCAGATCGTGACTGTTATCGATCAGATCGTTACTGACTGGTATCAATCATATCGTTACTGATTGTTATCAATCAGTAACGATATGATCGATAACAGTCAGTAACGATCTGATCGATGACAGTCAGTTACGATCTGATTGATAACAGTCACGACGTGATCGATAACAATCAGTAACGATCTGATGGAGGACAGTCAGTTACGATCTGATTGATAACAGTCACGACGTGATCGATAACAATCAGTAACGATCTGATGGAGGACAGTCAGTTACGATCTGATTGATAACAGTCACGACGTGATCGATAACAGTCACGATCTGATTGATAACAGACACGACATGATCGATAACAATCGGTAACGATCTGATCGATAACAGTCATTCACGGCATGATCGAGAACAGTCAGTAACTATCTGATTGATAACATTCACGACCTGATCGATAACAGTAACGATCTGATTGATAACAGTTAGTAACGATCTGATTGATAACAGTCAGATCGTTACTGACTGTTATCAATCATATCGTTTCTGACTGTTATCAATCAGATCGTTACTGTTATCGATCAGGTCGTGAATGTTATCAATCAGATAGTTACTGCCTGTTCTCGATCATGTCGTGAATGACTGTTATCGATCAGATCGTTACTGACTGGTATCAATCATATCGTTACTGATTGTTATCAATCATATCGTTACTGACTGTCATCGATCAGATCGTTACAGATTGTTATCGATCAGATCGTTACTGACTGTCATCGATCAGATCGTTACAGATTGTTATCGATCAGATCGTTACTGATTGTTATCAATCACGTCGTGACTGTTATCAATCATATCGTTACTGACTGTCATCGATCAGATAGTTACTGACTGTTATCGTTCAGATCGTGACTGTTATCGATCAGATCGTTACTGTTATCGATCATATCGTGACTGACTGTTATCGATCACGTCGTGACTGTTATTAATCATATCGTTACTGACTGTTATCAATCATATCGTTACTGACTGTCATCGATCAGATAGTTACTGACTGTTATCGATCAGATCGTTACCGACTGTTATCGATCATGTCGTGTCTGTTATCAATCAGATCGTGACTGTTATAGATCAGATCGTTACTGTTATCAATCAGATCGTTACTGTTATCGATCAGGTCGTGAATGTTATCAATCAGATAGTTACTGACTGTTCTCGATCATGCCGTGAATGACTGTTATCGATCAGATCGTTACTGACTGTTATCAATCAGATCGTTACTGACTGTTATCGATCAGATCGTTACCGACTGTTATCGATCATGTCGTGTCTGTTATCAATCAGATTGTGACTGTTATAGATCAGATCGTTACTGTTATCAATCAGATCGTTACTGTTATCGATCAGGTCGTGAATGTTATCAATCAGATAGTTACTGACTGTTCTCGATCATGTCGTGAATGACTGTTATCGATCAGATCGTTACTGTTATCAATCAGATCGTTACTGATTGTTATCGATCACGTCGTGACTGACTGTTATCGATCAGATCGTTACTGTTATCAATCAGATCGTTACTATTATCGGGAGATCGTTACTGATTGATATCGATCAGTTCATGACTGACTGTTATCGATCAGATCGTTATTGCGTGATATAGTGGAGGGTTAATGCGTTCCATGAAATACTCATTAAATGTCGGGAATGTATTATAATGGAATATATCACAACACTTTAAACGTATTGGATAAAGGAATACATCTGAATGTCGTGATATATTCCATAGTAATATACTCACAATAGTTAATTAATAATATTCTAACACGTCCAAACAACTCATAAACGATTCGTATAGCAGCCGGGGGGATTTTTCAAGGATATACTTTATTGGTTTCATTCTAAAATATTTCACTAGACGTGTATTTGTGTTATACTAAAGTTGTGTCTTTTAGAATAATAATTTCATTCATACTTAAGTACGTGTGCGAGTCCGTCATGCTTATGTTATTCCAATACTCGGCATTTGTATAGAACAAATTTTGTAATATAATTGCCAAAAGGATCTCCATACTTTTCCTTAACAGTTTGTTTTCTAAAGGAGTGCACCGAAGCAGAGATACAAAAGCATATAAACCTTCATTGTGATATGTATTGCACAATGTACAGACGTAAATAACGCAGAATAATCAGACAATTGGTTTTTAAATACGCAACGTTCAAAAAGATACAATGAATCTCACACACATGGAAAAACCGGATTACAGGGTACGCCGCAAAATTCAATACAATACAGTATATT